TCTGGTGAGGATCTGCCCTGGCACCAGGCAGCTAGCAGGACATAGTGGGGAGGATGCTGCTGCTCCATCCGTTCTGCCTCAGCCCTGCCACCTGCATTACCCACATTTGCTGCACGGCAGACCCCAGCACACGTGGCACCAGTGCACTGGGCCATGCCCACCCTGGGCTCTGTGGCCTCACCTGGGAGCCTCTGGGGCACCAGAGTCAGCAACCAACTGCTCCCTACACAAATCACGGCATCCTCCTGGGAAGGGGGACTGCAGAGCCAGCCAGTGCTGTCGATCCTACCTGCTCTCACCATCCTGTAGCACCTTGCACTCTAAGGTTGCCAAAACCCTGTAGTTGCCTTCTGCTCCCTGGACAATCCCTAGCACTCCTGGCTCTCTGCACACTCTACCTGCCACCAAACCTACCCTGCCACAGTTGCATCTTACTGCTCCCTCCCAGCATCTCTGCACAGCCATGCAACATCCCACGCTCCCGCAGTGACAGACACACGCACGTCCGCCCACGCCACCCTCACTGGCTCTGTGCCTTTATATGGAAAACACCTTCACAGCACACATGGTCCCCAGCTCCAGCTGCCCCTAGCCCAGCCCCACCCCATGCCTCACAGCCCCCTCCTGCTGTCTGCACAGTGGCAGAGCTGTGCTCCTGGCCCCAGTCCAGACTGGGTCACCACCATGCTGGCGCCTGCCTGTGTCCAAGGCTCTAGAGACTGCTCCCATTGCCCACAGTGGTGCATGTTGATGGGCCCATCTCCAGGATCAACTCCTGGCTGCAGCCTGCCCTGCTGCTGAGCTGGGCTCTGGCAATGCACTCCCAGCCACTGGCACAGGCAGCACACCAGAACCGAGGGCACCATGGTGGCAGAGCAGAAAGGACACGTAGGGTTGGCATGGTGGGCTGGGTGGGCATGGGGCCTCTGCAAGCCACCAGCACAGCCAAACACTGCCCTTCCCTAGGCACAACAATGAAAAGACCTTCTTGATCTGGATCAATGAGGAGGACCATACACGTGTCATCTCCATGGAGAAGGGGGGCAACATGAAGCGTGTCTTTGAGCGCTTCTGCCGGGGCCTGAAGGAGGTGAGTGCACAGCCCCATGGACAGGCAGGTCTACTGCAGCACTGGTCCTGGGTGCTCAGCCAGGGCTGGGTACCCCATGGCCAGGGCTGAATGGCTGCTTGTGCCTCTCCCCCAGGTGGAGCGGCTAATCCAGGAGC